GGGTCTCCACCACAGCATGGCTTGACAAGTGGTCTAGATCCATGCCTGAGATCCAAACCCGTGAACCCAGGCCTTGGAAGCAGAGCAGGCGGGACTTAACCACTACGCCACACGGCTGGCCCCTGCTTAGAACTTTTTGTATCTGTTTCTTAGTGGATAGAGCTATCTTTTTATTTCACTCTCTTCCTCTAATTGTGGTATCAAAGTTATTGTAGTATTAGGAATGAGTTGAGGGGTGTTTTCTTTTTCCATTGTCTGAAAAACTATTAAGACTTCCAACCTCTTTGGAAGTTGTGTGGGCCTCATCTGTAAAACCATCTAGGTCTGGTGTTTTTTTTATGGGAAGATTGGGCACTACTGATCAGTTTCTACTACTCAGTTTGTTTAAATGTTAGAGGACTTTCGAGTTTTCTATTTCTCCTTAAGCCATTTTACTTAATGCTATTTTCTAGGAATGTGTTCATTTTATGTTTTAAATTTTATTGATATAAAATTATCCATATTATACTCTTTTTAATCTTGGCGTGTAGTCTGTCCTTTTTTATTCTCAAAGTTGTTTATTTGTGCCTTATCTCTTTTTCTAGTTGTCTATTTTGTTAGTATTTCAAAGAATCAACTATTGGCCCTGTTGATCATTACTGTGTTCTGCTTCTTTAGTTTCTGCTTTGAATTTCATTACTTCTACTTTCTTTGGATTGGTGCTCTGTTTTTCAACCTCTCCCAATTTAGTTTTTCAGATAATAGAAAAAGAGAACACTCCTCAACTCATTCCTAATACTACAATAACTTTGATACCACAATTAGAGAAGGAGAGTGAAATAAAAAGATAGCTCTATCCACTAAGAAACAGATATAAAAAGTTCTAAGCAGGGGCCAGCTGTGTGGCGTAGTGGTTAAGTCCCGCCTGCTCTGCTTCCAAGGCCTGGGTTCACGGGTTTGGATCTCGGGCATGGATCTACACCACTTGTCAAGCCATGCTGTGGTGGCGACCCACATGCAAATAGAGGAAGACTGGCACAGATGTTATCTCAGGGCTAATCTTCCTCAAGAAAAAAAAAAAAAAAGAGGAAGATTGGTAACAGACCTTAGCTGAGGGCCCATCTTCCTCACACACACACACACACACAAAATTATCAAATAAAAAAAAAATAAATAAGAGGTGTAAGAATTAGCAAGGTTGAAACCAAGCTATCATTGTTCCTGGACGATGTGATTGTTCACGTAGAAAACTTCAAAGGATATACAAATGAATTATTAGAATTAATAAGATACTTTAGCAGGTTGTTGGAAAATAGTTATGGGGATGGATGGTGGCAATGGTTGCACATTATAAATGTATTTGATATCACTGAACTGTACACTTAAAAATGGTTAACATGGTAAACTTTATGTGTGTTTTACTACCACAATAAAAAAAAAAGTGGAAAAAGAGTACTTAAAGGAGATGTATAGCCTCAAATGTTTATGTTGAAAAAACGAAAGGTTGAGATTTAATGAGTTATTTAATAACATTGTAAAGAAATTTTTAGGGTTTTTAGAGATCTTACATATAAGATCTTATCATCTGCAAACAGAGATAATTTTACTTCTTCCTTTCCAATTTGGATGACATTTATTTCTTTTTCTTGCATAGTTACTCTGGCTAGGACTCTCAGTACTACATTGAATATGTGAAGGCAGGAATCCTTGTCTTGTTCCTGATCTTAGAGGAAAAGCTTTCAGTCTTTCACCATTGTGATGTTTGCTGTAGATTTTTCATGCATGGCTTTTACTATGTTGAGGTAGTTTACTTCTATTCCTAGTTTGGTGAGTGTTTTTATCATGAAAAGGTGTGTCAAATACTTTTTCTGCGTCAATTGAGATGATCATGTAGTTTTTTCCTTCATTCTGTTAATGTGGTGTACTACATTGATCAATTTCTGTATGTTGAACCATCCTTGCATTCCAGGAATAAATCCCACTTGGTCATAGTGTAAATCCCTTTATTATGCTGTTGAATTCAGTTAGATAATATTATGTTGAGGATTTTTGTATTAATGTTCATAAAGGATGCTGGTTTGTAGTTTTCTTTTCTTGTAGTGTCTTTGTATGTCTTTGGTATCAGGGTATTATAGGATGAGTTAAGAAGTGTTCGCTCGTCTTCAATTTTTTTAAAAAGTTTGAGAAGGATTGGTATTAGTTCGTCTTTGAATGTTGGTAGAATTCACCAAAGAAGCCATTGGGTCCAAGACTTTTTTTGTCAGGAGATTTTTTATTACTGATTCAATCTCCTTACTAGTTTTGGGTCTATTCAGATTTTCTTTTTCTTTGTGATTTTTTTTTTTTTTTTAAAGATTTTATTTATTTTATTTTTTCCCCCCAAAGCCCCAGCAGATAGTTGCATGTCATAGCTGCACATC